CCTACCCTCGCCTCCTCCGTCGTCGCTTGTTGTCACTCCTTCTCCTCTGTCTAACTACCTTCGTGTCACTCGTCCTCTTGTTCCTCACGTCCTTGCCTCCCTCGTTACCGACCCGTCTGTTCCTGTCTCGCGTTTTGACGCTCTTGTCGCTGCTGTCACTGACTTTGCCTCTACCCGCCGCCTTGACTACGCAACAGCTCTGGTCTTTGGCCCTGCCTGCCCTCCGTCCGTCAGGGGTGCTCCTGCCCTTGGCAATGACGTCCTAGAGGATAGGCAATACAAGCTTGCTTTCCTGTCTAAGGCCGCTCTCCATCCCTGTTCCATGCTGCTAGTCCCTGAGGGTGACCCAGCCGCCCTTGACATGCTGACCCCTTGCACTTACACTGAGGCGACGTTGGGACCCTGGGCCTCTCAGTGGATAGCTGCCATGGAGCAGGAGATGGCATCTTGGAGATCCACCGTCACCTTCGTCGACATAGTTCCCCCGCGTGGGGTGAACGTAGTCGATGGCCGATGGCTCTTCAAGGTGAAGCGCCCCTCTGGAGAGCCGCCTGTATTCAAGGCACGCTACGTGGCTAGAGGTTTCAGTCAGCGCGAGGGTGTTGACTTCTTTCAGACCTTTTGTTACAGGATCGAATGTGTGAAGGAAAAGTTGCACTATCGATTGATACAAGGTGCTTTTATACTTCCAAGGTATATCGGGTAACCAGGTTTATCCTATCCAAAGGGAATAGACCCTTCTAGAAATAGAATCACCCTGCGTATAGCCATGCAAGGCTATTGGCTTTTACGGGATTACGGCAGGATTACGCTAGATATAGCGCGCCAGTACATCCCGAGCATGATCGGTGATATAATTATAATAATTGGATAACCCAAATGATAATGAAAAAAGGAGGGATAGGAAACCAAATGGGATGAGATAAAGATCAAAAGAATCAGGATAAAAAGAAGAATGAGATAGAGGACAAAGATGGAAATGAGAAAGAAGTGTAACGGGGTCGTACTCTCACACTTCCCCCTCTCAAAGTTGGGTGGTAGAAGTAACACCCTGATTGACAAGGTGGTCGCGAAGAGGATGATGAGCGTTACCCATCTCAGTTTAAGAAACCCAACTATCCTTAGAAGGATCATAACCCTTCCAATGAATAAGAAGCTCCACAGCGCCATTCTGACGACGACGGTGTACAAGCACTGACTCGGCCTCGTATTCAGGTTCATCGTGGAGGAGGATGAGCGGCGGCGGCGGCGGGTGGCATCCGATGAAGACCGTGTTTGGATCTCGATTTGGCTTCAGAAGTTGGACATGGAAGACGTGAATCTTCCAGGTAGCTGGGAGGCGTAAGCGAAAGGTAACAAGAGTTACTGTACCTATGCTTCAACGAGAAAGGGTCTACAAAAGCGAGGTCGCAGTTTGGATGGGAGATGACTGATGTCGAGATTGCGGGTGTCGAGTAGAACCCCGGTCTCCCGCGGTGATGGTGTGGTCAGTGCGGTGGCGATCGGCCTAACGCTTCTGTTGGTGCTGAATGTCGAGGAGGAGCTTGTAGGTCCGATCCCAAAGCTGATGCATGGTCGTGATGAAGTCGTGTGCTGGTTGGACTGTGGCTGATGCTGTCGGATTTTGTGGCGTGAGCGGGTGGTGTCCGTATCAGAGAAAGAACAACGTCTGTCCAGTAGCGACGTGAGTGACGTTGTTGAAGGCGAACTCAAAGGCGGGCAGATGCAAGTCCCATTTAGAGATTTCGTCTTTGCATGTTGCGCGGAGGAGTTGCTCTACAATTTGGTTGAGGCGTTCGGTTTGTCCATCTGACTGCGGATGGTAGGCGGATGACATGGTGAGTTTGGTCCCGAGCAGAGACATCAGTTCCTTCCATAACTTGCTAGTGAACTTGGGGTCTCGGTCGGAGATGAGTGTGGTTGGAATGCCATGTTGTGAGATTATATAGTGAACGAATAGTTGTGCTGTCTCTTCGGTGCGTGATGTCGTGTGTGTCAGGATGAAGTGTCCCATTGTGGAGAATTTGTCGACGACGACGAGGATTGCGTCATGACCGCTCGTGGTAGTTGGTAACCCGGTTATGAAATCCAGGCTAACCACTTGCCATGGCTGTTCTGGGACAGGAAGAAGCTGTAGCAGTCCTGGCTTTTTCTGCTTATTGTTCTTCATCCCATTAGTAGTGCTTTGCAATGCCGGTGAGCGTTTTATTGCTACCGAAGTGTCCCGCGTATAGGACATCGTGGTATTCTTCGAGTAATATCTGGCGCAAAGGAGGGTAATTGGGTACCCAGATTTTCGTTGATCCCTTCCGGTACGTGATGCCACTGTCCAACTGTAGCAGGTGTCACTTTTCTGCCAAAGGAATTTTAGGGTCGATGGCGTACCCGTGTCTGAAGAGTCCCTTGAGTAGTGGGTTCATCCCTTCGACCTGGATTGCGGCAACGTGTGCAGGCCGACTAAGAGCATCTTCTCTGTTTTTGTGGACGGGCTTGTACACGATGTCATAGAAGAAGTGTGCCTTGAGGAAGTCAATCCACTAGACCTGCCACCTGCAGAGGTTTGGTTGTATCTTCAAATATTTCAGGCTACAGTGGTCGGTGTAGACGGTTGTTTTTCGTCCTTCGAGATAGCATCTCCACGTTTTGAAGGCGATGATAATAGCAAGGGTCTCTTTGTCATGTATCAGGTAGTTTAGTTCTGCCCCGTGTAGTTTCTTACTGAGGTAGGTCATTGGTTTCAATCCATTCCCCTGGTCTTGCATCAAGACTGCTCCCACTGCCTGGTTATTAGCATCAGCTTCGATAACGTAGTCGCATTCGGGGTATGGGAGGATGAGTACAGGTGCGGACGTGAGTGCTTGTTTCAGCTGCACTATCTTTGGCCCAATGGGGAAGTACATTTCTTTGGCCTTGTCGTTGCACCATTGGCCCAATGGGGAAGTACCAGGGTGAGAGACGCGTGTGTACGTTGCGCATGGTGGAGGACGGCGGGGATCAATGGAGGTGGGGGAAAGGCAAAGCCGTGTTCTGCACACCAAGAGATCGTGAAAGCGTTGATCGTCGTAGCCGTGGGGTGTGGGTTACCGGAACAGAAACGACTCAGCTTGGCGTTGCTAGCATTGGCGAAGAGATCAATGGAATGGGGACCCCAGCACCAATCCAGGATGTTGAACCACGGCGTTTTGAGCATGTAGTAATCGCGATCGAGTATCTTGGAAAGCTCATCCGCATGCTTGTTGAGTTCGCGAGGGATCCACTCCATCATAAGGCGAACTCGGTGGGTAGTACATGTGCGAATGATCTCCTTGCAAGCGATGGTGAGATCAGGGCTCTGTGAGCCACCCTTCTTCAATATGAAGAAAACTCCCTGATTATCCACACGCACGAGCACATGCTTGTTTCAAAGTAGGTCGATGTATGTCTGCAGTGCCCATAGAACCCCTTTGATCTATCGACAGGTACTAGATGTGTGTCCCAAAGCGGCGGGCATGTTCATGCTGGCTTCACATAGGTTGCCCGAGAACGTATTGAGAGTAGCCCCCTAGTCTTGGCTGCTCGCCTCAACGTGAATTACAGCATCGTAGCTACAGCGCACATGAAATGGGGCACCGTTGAAGTGGTCAAAATTGGTTTACCAGAATTCCAACTCCTCGCAGGCGATAGGTGAGAGCGATACTCTGCTATTCCAGGGAGGATTGTCGTTGATGGTCTACAGCAGGGCGTGGCTGAATGCCCTAGCAGTGGCCCCGAGCGCAAGTGCCATTGAAGCAAGCATGCCTGTAACCCGCGCAACGTGCGAGACAGGGACCTTGGACAGGTTGCGTCCGGCTTCCAGGAGCGACTAGATAGTAGCCTACAGTGTGCCACGCCGTTACGGACCCACAGAGAATTGGTCGACTTTGGTATCGATTTCCAAGCCCCGGAAACGTAAGCACTGGGTTGATCACGAGGCCCGCATTGCGAAGATCGCCAATAATGTGGTTGCAAGTTTCCCGGCCGTCGGCTTCCGAATGACCAAGGAAGAGGAATCGTCCTCATACGGTATGACACGCACTTTCGTTGTTCTCCAGCGGTGCGTGAGCAACTTGATCAACTTCGTAAAGATGAACGGTGCTATAGCCAGTCCAAACGGAAGGGAGCGGAAGCAGTATGAGTGCCCGCCAAATTGGAAACCCGGGAATTTCCGACACGACAGGTGGATGTCGACGTGGTGATAGCCAGACTTCAGGTCGATTGAAAAGATCCAGTCGCCCGCTCGCGCCAACTTGGCAACGCGATTGAGTCCCTCGTACTTGAATTTGGGAATTTGTAGCTCCTGGTTGACCTTGCGCAGATCGAGGATGAGGCGACATTTGTCGCGCTGTTCTATAACGTTAAGAGGGTTGATGCACGTGAGCGTTGATTTTGGCACCTTTGCTGCGGCGCCGGTTTGGAGGAGATCCGCGATGGCGGTCTTCATAAATGCCTCGTAAACTTGGGTCCCTCGCATGATTGGTGCCCCGAAAAGGCTGTGGGGGCCCTTGTTTCCAAGGCATCCAGTAGCCTCTGTCAATGACTGATATGATGAAGCTACTGGTGCACCACGAACGCCACCAGGGTAGTGCGTCTCGCAGGCGCCTGCGCATGGTTGAGACCGTCCGGTCTGTCACAGCGTATTCAAAGGGATCACCAAGCCCTGTAAGGTCATGCGTGAGTAATTCTGCAAATAGAATCCAACAAAAGAATGGGGTAAGGTTCGTAAATGCTTGGCAGAGTGAGCGTTAAGTCCACCAAATGTGATAGTGAGCATACGATGAAGGCCGGTGCCTTATACGATATGAATGTAAGGGACTAGGGCAATGTGTATCTGGCCCAGCAGCCAGTCGAATGCTGCGCCACTGTGCACGCACTTTCGATGTTGCTTTCTCACATTCGGGCTCTCTCTCTCTCTCTCTCTCTCTCTCTCTCTCTCTCTCTCTCTCTCTCTCTCTCTCTCTCTCTCTCTCTCTCTCTCTCACTCTCTCTCTCTCTCTCTCTCTCTCTCTCTCTCTCACTCTCTCTCTCTCTCTCTCTCTCTCTTGCTCTCCCTCCTTCTCTCTCTCTCTCTCTCTCTCTCTCTCTCTCTCTCTCTCTCTCTCTCTCTCTCTCTCTCTCTCTCTATCTCACCCTCTCTCTCTCTCTTTCTCTCTCTCTCTCTCTCTCTCTCTCTCTCTCTCTCTCTCTCTCTCTCTCTCTCTCTATCTATCTCTCTCTCTCTCTCTCTCTCTCTCTCTCTCTCGCTCTCTCTCTCTCTCTCTCTTTCTCTCTCTCTCTCCCTCTCTCTCTCTCTCTCTCTCTCTCTCTCTCTCTCTCTCTCTCTCTCTCTCTCTCTCTCTCTCTCTCTCTCTCTCTCTTTCTCTCTTGCTTGCACCGTCTCTCTTGCGAGCATCGCAGGTTCCAGTAAGCCGAGTCCCTCCAATGGTTGCTTAAAGAGCATGTGATGGGACGGAAGCTAAGGCTAGTTATGTACCTCGCGCTAGACATTGTAGGCCCAACTAAGTGCTTGGTTTCATGTGCCTTGATGCGGCCGCACCCATTATTGGTCGTGCCTTCTTCTAGGTTGGGCTTGGAGTAGCAAGGACACCCATGATAGGTTCCTAGGCACCAGAAACGGAGTTGCCTTGTGAGGTCCCAAGGCCTTGTGAGCCCTTTGTTTAGATTGGGGTTAATAAGATTTTTAAAAATGAGATCAACAAGAACTGAAATGCTTCGACCCATGAGCTTCGAGTCTTAGGCCTCAAGCCTTGGCCACTACCCAACTGGGATTCTGTCTTTCAAAATGATGATGAAACGAAAAGAACCGGCACCTCCAATGGTGCCACTACCGAGGTAGGTCAAAAAAATACTTTCTCCCCCTTTGGGGCTTGGCCCATGGCCTATACACATACTCTCTATCGGGTTTGGCCAGCGGTCTTTTCATTCTAATTCCCACCGAGGGAATGGCCAGCGGCCCTAAGCATCCCATGGTGTAGTGGCACCTACTCCGAGGTCCACAAAATAATAACATAAAATCCTCATTTACTTTTTACACAACAGGTGCGGGCCCTCGTGATCCGCTCCCATTTCCAGTGCAGTTGTTCGCCGTGTGGCCCGGCTGGCCACAGCGAAAGCAAGCGCCTTGGAAGCCCCTCTGGGCGCCGCTCGGTGGAGAGCCGAACTTTCCTCCAAAGCCCATAGGGCCGCAACCTCCAACGGGATGGCCACGGCCATAGGAGCCTTGCGCGGTTTCATTGCCGCAATGTCTGCAACTGCTTGCTTGAAGGGGCGTGAGGTGAGGACACTCTTCTCTTGGTAGAGCTTGAAGCACAGTGCCGTCTTGAAGTCGGAGGCGTCGGCGACTTGGAGGAGCTCAAAGCGCTTGGTGATGAGCGCGTACGCCGCCTGGAAATATTCGAGCGAGCCTGATGTGTCGCCATGACGCACCTTGTGCTCCGCATGCTTTATGTACGCTCGCAGGTCTTCCAGGAACTTGGCTTGCTCGCGTACCCCGGCATTGTTGAACGATGATGCCGCGATGGTGGGGTTAGAGGAAGGAAGAGGTGGGAGGTGCTCGGTGGGTGCGAAAAAATAAATGTGCGTATGAGCTTCACCAGCCTCATTGTCGGAGTCATTGTCTTCCTTGGCATTGTCTTGTGTGGCAGCGGCGAGCTCCTTCTCGGCGCGGGCGATCTTGGAAGGACGAGCGTGACGCGACGACTCCTTTTTTGCATCTTCAATTTTAGTCGAGGCAGAAATGGTAGTCGCAGCAGCTGTAACCGCGGGAGTGTTTTGCTGTAACAGCGCCAACAGTGCCGCCACTTGCTCGTTGGTCAAAGCAGGGGCGGCGGGTGTTGGCGCGCTGGATGTGGCCGCACCACGGCCTTGCTTGTTCTGACGCGAGGGGTCCGCCCTGCCGTTTTGCGCCTTCTGCGCACTAACGTCAGCAGGTGACACGCCATCCGCCACTTGTGTCGCCTGCTGCTCGCTGGGGCGTGGCTCACCAAGGTCAACTTGGTTGACCTCTCCACTGTGCAGTAACACGTCGAGGGCAGAAGGGGCGAGGTCGCCCTCTGCCCAACGCTTGTTGCCGTGATCACCCGCCATTTCGTTGGCGTTTTTCTCAGGTTCCAAAATATCTAGAGAATCGACAGGCGGATTTTCAGCACAGAGAGTTTTCAACTTCGCCAGAGTGGCAGAGCGAAAAAGGCGGGATGGGAACTCAATTGAACTTGAGCTGGGAAAAGCGAAAAACGTGGGTGGAGGAAGAATGACCTCCAACCCCATTATATAGTTGGAGAAGGGCAAATAGCGCGCTTCGACGATGGTCGAAGATTGCGTTACAAGCAGCTTCGCATTCATAATGCGCAATTTTGAAAGTTTGAACACTTCAAATTTTACATATCAAATGACATGTGCTCCTTCCACCTTCTTCACATCCATCTAAGGGTGCATGGAAAGTAGGACGGTGGTTCCGTTCGTCCGCTCCGTTCATCCATTCGTTCTGCCCTTCAGGAGATTTTGGGTTGCTTATCATTCGAGTACACTCACGAGGTGATTCAAACGAGGCAAACAGAACATCTTGGCTTCAATTTTTGAAACCGTAACAAAATCGCGTTGAGTTCGGCATTTCGCCAAAACGGAAAAAAAAAAAACGGCGCTGTTCAGTGTTTGCGAAAGTACAGGTCTCTATTCTAGGGTTCTCAGGATGGCGAACTACACCTTGTTGTTTGTGGGGTCTCATGCTGGCACGCGTGCCCAACTTTCAAGAATTTTTTTAGACATGCCCCTCAATCAGTTGAAACTTTTCTCACAAAACATTTTGCATGCACGTGATTGGCCACAGACCCGCGGCTCCTTTCGTTCGCTCGTCGGTTCGTTGGTGTTCAACTTTCCACGCACCTTAATCAAGGAAGAAGATAAGTCTGTGGGCATTAGTGACCAGCAGGGCTTATGCTAGAAGGGTAGCTACCCTAAATGTCGAGAAATTAAGAGTTTTTCAAGCCCCGAACCCGAATTTTAACAGGTTGGTATTCTCCGAAAGTCTGAATGTTTCCGATTGGATTCTCCTTGAAATCCTGATCCATTCCGTATACTATTTTCATGAATCCTGAAAAACTAGTCTCGTAGCATGGAGCTCTGTGAGGAGAACTTCCATTCCACTGCGTGGTGGCGAAGATTCTCACGTTACGAATCACAAAAGGTCCTTGTGGTACATTCTGGGCTCGTGTCATCGGGGCTTCCGGTCATCATTTGCCCCATGCTGGAAGACCCAAAGTTAGAAAACGTTGGCAAAAGATAACCGGAATATGGGATGACACGAGCGCGGAATGTACCCACTGGACGATTTCAGTACTTCAGCCAATCAGCCTAGTCATGTTCTCTGCACACATCAGGGGAGATGACTGACACGACCTTTGGCAGGGTTGCTATGTCGAGAACTCGGAAGGATTCTGGGTGAAATTTCCATGGGATTCGGAAAATTCTGGGTACTTCTGAACCCCATCTCGGGACGCTCCGAAACTCCATAAGGCCTAGCGTAAGCCCTGGTGACCAGGCAATATCCTGTCTTCTTATCGCGGCCTTCTTATTGCCGTAGAATATGGAGTCTCAGGCACACATTCGCGATCTGCCAAACGATCTTCTCACTCATAACTTGTGGCACTACGAGCAGCCCGTGCCTAGGAAATCGGATAGCGACGCTTTTTGGGATACCTTGCCTTTGGAACCAAATTACGTCTCTGCAAACCTTTCAAATCATAAGCCCATTCGCCAAGATAAGAAGACTCCATTGCCGACGCCTTCCGCCTCCTCCAACAGTCATCGGAATGTCCTTGTCGCATCCATCTGCCATCGCTGACATCATCAAGCGAAGAATTACGTTACCACGCTTCTCGTCGGCGATAATATCGCCTTTTCTTGCCGAGATCTCGCAAGCGTCGTCGCATCCTTCGCGAACCTCACCCATCTCCACCTCTGCGATAGCGGCGTGGAAACCCTCGACGACGCATTCTTCGCTCGCCTCCCCACGTCATGCCCGAAGCTAACAATCCTCCACGTGGGAAGCGGAATCACACAAGATTCAGATTACGAGGGGAGGAAGGATGAGCATCCGATCACAGAAGCCGGTTTAGATCGGTTCTTCGGGCAGTGCTCTCAGCTGCAGCAGCTGTCGCTCTACTGCCTTCACAGAGACGTCGAGTTCCCATATTCCTTCTTTCACCTGACGGGTCTGCACACTCTCGCTCTGGCAAACGCTTCACCGCTCGAAGCTTCCCCATTCGCCAACCTTTCCTCTCTCACCAACGTCTACATTCTCTCCCAGAGCTGACTAGTAAGCAGCTCGCAGGCCTCGCCCAACTCCCTAGCCTTACGAGCTTCACAATCTTTTATTTCACTTGCTTTTCTCCTGACAGCTGGACCACTAGTCGGCTCGACATTGCACGGTTCCCTTTGTTAAAATCACTGACATTCGATAGTATGTTCCGATCATCATCAGCATCACCGTGCACCAGCATCGAACGGCTGGAGATCGTCCAGTCCGACTTGGAGAACCTCCAAGGCGATTTCGGTGATCTGGTGCCATGTTTTCGCAAGCTGATTCTTCGCGACACGATTCTTCGCCAATGCTCCAGTCTCACACATCTGCCTAAAAGCCTCACTTCTCTTTAACTCCTGGAAAGGCTGACGCTTTCGGGGTGTGGCTAGATTTCCAGCTTGCCAGTGGACTTAGGAAGCCTATCTGCCATGTAAACTCTGGCGGTGCACGCGCAGGCACTTTCGGGACTCCCGGACTCCCTCTGTCAACTCACCTCCTTGGAAATTTTTTTCCTGATGGATTGCGAGGAGATTCGCCAGCTACCCGAAGCTTTCTGCTGCCTCATAGCTCTCCAAACAATTTCCGTGGTGAAATTGCCAGTAGTAATGCTTCCAGAGGACATCGGACGGCTCTTGAACCTGCACACTCTCTACTTTAACGGACAGTATCTGCAGACGCAATTTCCGCCGCCATTCACGCAACTGTCGTAGCTTATAAGACTCGAACTGGACACGTGCATGATCTGTGAATTTGCTGAGGATCTGGGAACCTGACTAACCTGCACAAGCTGCACGTTCATTCCTGTCCGCTATTCAGTGAGCTTTCGGCATCCCTGACAAGCCTCACGGGCCTTCAAATCCTGACCGTTGAAGACTGTATTTCGCTCACTTCGGCTCCGAAATGGCTAGAGAGCCTTAGGAAGCTGAAACGGCAGGATCTGACCAGAGGCAGGTTTCAGAGTGAGCCGCCTGAATCTCTCCCACCCTCCCTCAAAATCTTAAATCTGGAAACTTGCTACGAGGCCTCTGATCTGCCTGACGTCTCGTTGCTGCCGAAGCTCAGAAGGACGAGCCTGAAGCTGATTGGCGTTGAGGAAAGGATGACCCTTAGTAGCACTTTTCCTCACCTGAAGCACCTGAAGCTAACATTGCGGGATGATGCTGAGGAGCTCCCATTCTCCCTGGCTCTGCTCCCACAGCTGCGCTCCTTGGTCCTCTGGAGGGCTAAAGGCCGAAAAACGTTCTACACATGGTGTTCCGAATTGCAGCACCCAATGAACTTGAAAGGCACCCCCAGAGTGGCGAGACTCCCTTTACCCCATTCTATACCCACGAAAGCGCTACTTTTAAACGCAGTGCATTTGAAGGCCGCGCCTCGCAATTTGGGGCGCAAGTTTTAAGAGGCTTCCAAGGGACATTGGGTCGGCATTGCAGCAGCTGCGGGAGCTGCAGATTGACTATGCGGAGGAATTGAAGGAGCTGCCAGAATCTATGGTGCAGCTGCATCATCTGACTTCCCTGGGAATCGTTCACGCAACCAAGCTGACTTCCCTTCCTGATGGCATCGGTGCCTTATCCAGCCTCAGGAAACTGAGCCTCACCGGCTGTCCAGCTCTGGAGCATCTGCCTGCTAACACCCAGCTTCCTTGCCTTTATTTCTTGAGTGTTTCTGGCGCCTCCATCCGCTCCCTGCCAGCCAATTTTGCTCAATTGACCCGGCTGAGGAGCCTGCATTTGAATGACTGCAAGCAGCTGAGGGGTCTGCCAGAGGAGTTGACTGAGCTGAAGATGCTGCAGGTGTTGAATGTTGGGAAGTGTGATCAGATGGCGGACAGTGAAGGTCACGTGCAGCCCCATGGGATTCGTAGGATGTATGGCTTGATGATACAGGCTTAGTGTCCTTAAAAGGGAAGAGGAGGTTGAGGGAGGGGAACAGGTGGGGCGGCATCTATGGCCAGGGCGAAGGCAGGGATAATGGCTGGCAGCAAGAGAATGGTTTAATGGCGCCAGCGGCAGATGCAGCTTGGGGAGGGGAGCTTGGAGTTCTGTCTGGAGAGAAGAAAATCAGGCTTGGGCTCGCTAATGCTGGTGAGGTACACATGAAACGAGCTGGATTCTCTAGGAATGGCTGTGTTTTTTTCTATGAGCTTAGAATGTCTGTTTGGTTTGGTGTCAGACGCAATTTTCAATGCTGCTCGCTTCTGCCCCAGCTTTCTGGTCTGTTTACCTTTGTTTCTCCCCTTGGAACCATCTGTTGCTCACACTTTGCTACACTCGTCCACCCCACCCCCCCTCCCCTCCCCTTCCCCCCCACACGTTCCCTGCAGGCGGCCATAGGCGTGCTATGTTTCATTGCTGGCATGCCATGTGCTCACGACCAGCATGCCGAGCACAATCGGAGCCAGGCAGCATGCCTGAAGCGTGACTCCACAATAAAGCCATGACCTGGATAGATATGCCAAGATCGGGTGTCCCAGATGTACTGGTAAAGTGAGCAGAGCTTTTTATGACACGCCATGCATCTGTGGTTTGTGACAATCCATACTTAGCCTGTAAAAGGGGCCTAGTGCATCATTGCTCTCCAAGCTGATGGATCCAAGGGACTTCCGGTATGACAACCGGCCAGGGCCTCTACCTATGGGCTCCCTGTTGCCAGCACCAAATCGCGACGCAATGGTAGGGGAGCCTACGATTTTTGAAGTGTTTTCTACAGTGCATGCTAAGCCTATACTTACAATGCAGGATCTTCAACGTGCTAGTGATCTTGAATTCACCGATCATGAGTAGTGGTCCTTGGTGGCTTACAAATCAAGAGGGGCATACCATGAGGATATGGAGTGCAGTCTATTTGAGTAATGAGTTTTGGAATATTACTTTTTATAGTTTGTGGAATCGAAGCACTGCAATCGAAGCAGTGCGCGCAGCGCAACCAATCGAGCCATCACACCCATCACCTCTCAATATTTGTCTGATATGGAGTCGCCCTGCCATCCTTTCCCTTGTGACTGGCAGGTTCATCCCGCACAATTCCAGCTCCTCCAAACCTCGCCTAACACAATCTCGCCCTACTTGACCTCTTCTCACTCAATATTAACTCACCCAACCCCGTCTCGACCAACCTCACACCCCTCTCCCCCGACCACCCTACCATAGCACTCTACTTCTGTCACTTAGTCTCTACTCGTTAGTCGTTAGTCATCGGTTCTTCTGTGAGGAGAACAGGAGGCAGAAACATCAGTCGGTAGTAGCGTAGTGTGAACACAACAGCTCGTTTCTTGGACTCATCTCTCATCAGGCTTCTCGCTGCCGTGATCCCGCTCGAAGCAATGCAGTCGCGCACGCACATAGACGATCTTCCTAACGACGTTCTTGCTAGAATACTATGGCACTACGGGCAGATAGCGCCTCCGAAATCAAACAGCGACGTCTTTTGGGACCCCGATTCCCTCAACCCGAACTTTCGGAGTCGCTCCATATCTGCAAGCTATTCAGATGATAAGTACAATCGTCAAGAGAAGAAGGAGATTCCGTTAGAAGATACTCGTATGGAGAAAACCCCGTTAGAAGCACCTCCCGCTTCAGCTAATGCTCACCGGATCTTCCGCCTCGCGTCCGTCTGCCGTCGCTGGCGCCGCGTTTCCCATCGTTACGTCTCGACCCTACTCATCGGCGAAAATCTCGTCGTTTCTCGCCGGGACCTCGCGAATGCCGTCGCATCTTTCGCGAACCTCACCCATCTCCACCTGTGCGACGGCAGCGTGGAAACCCTCGACGACGCGTTCCTCGCTCACCTCGCCACGTCATGCGGGCCTAAGCTAACAATCCTCCACGTGGGAAGCGGATCCGCGCCGGCGATAGCGTACGTCGGGAGGAAAGACGAGCACCCGATCACAGACGTTGGCCTGGACCTATTCTTTCAGCAGTGCACTCAGCTGGAGCAGCTGTCGCTCTTCTGCCTTCACGGTGACGTGGACTTACCCTCTTCGTTCTACCGGCTATCAAATCTCCATACCCTCGCGCTCACCAACGCGGCGACGCTCGACGCTCCGGAATTTCCGAACCTCACGTCGCTCACGAACCTCCATATCGTGGCCTCCAAAGTCACCTACAAGCAGCTCGCGAATCTCGCTCGCCTCCCCAGCATCACGCGACTATCCCTCTCAGACGACACCTACTCGCATCCCGGCGGGTTCGGCTGGGCCGGGCTCGACATCTCTCTGCTGCCATCGCTGAGGTCGCTCAAATTCGACCAGTTTTTCCCGGCGAAAGGGACGTTTACGCGCCTCGAACGGCTAGACATCCTCGAGTCGTTCGCGTCGTATATCATCCCTGACGAAATCGGTAACCTGCTGCCGTGCCTTCGCGAGCTGTCCATTCGCCGCTGCTCGCGTCTGACCCACCTCCCCGAAACCCTAACCTCTCTCTCTCGCCTGGAGACCCTCCGAGTCTCCACGTGCCGCTTGCTTTCCAGCCTGCCCGAGAATCTCGGGCACCTTCGCGCGCTGAAAACCCTGGTTCTGGAGGGATTAGCGGCTCTGGAGGATCTCCCAGACTCCATCTGCGAGCTCTCCTCCCTGGAATCTTTCCTCCTGATAGAATGCCCGGAAATCCCCGAGCTGCCCACAGAATTCTCCCGCCTCACAGCCCTCAAAACCCTCTCCCTGGAAAATCTGGAGCTAGAGTCCCTTCCAGAGAACATTGGGGAGCTTCCCAACCTGCAGACGATTTTTCTGGGCGGACGGTACCTGTCAGCGGAAATTTCGCCGTCGTTCACGCAGCTGACGTCACTCACACGGCTGGAACTGCACGGGTGCATGATACAGGAGCTTCCACAGGACTTAGGGAACCTGGGTAACCTCCGGGAGTTACACATCCGCTCCTGCCGCCTCCTCAGGGAGATCCCAGAGTCCCTGATTCGCCTCACGAGCCTGGAAACCCTAATCATTGCTGACGAGGATAAGGATCTTTCCGGGTTCTTGCTGATCCCGAGGAGTCTGGACAATCTTGGGAGGCTCAAACGGCTGGAGGTGTCCGGGTGGGGGTATCCGAGCGAGCCGTCGGAGTGCCTGCCGCCCTCCCTTGAGGTGCTGAGACTGAGGGGGCGGTCCTACCAGGCGACTGACATTGCCAGGGTTGCCCTGCTGCCGAATTTGAGAAGCTTGAGCTTGAAGCCGGTTGCTGCTGGGACAAGACTGGCTGGGGGAGGCCTGGCTGGGGAAAGCCTGGCTGGGGGAAGCCTGGCTGGGACGAGCCTAGCTGGGAGTAGCCTAGTTGGGGGTAGCCTAGTTCGGAGTAGCCTGGATGGGAGATGTCTAGCATGGGAAAGCCTAGCTGGGGAAAGCCTAGCTGGGGAAAGCCTAGCTGGGGAAAGCCTAGCTGGGGAAAGCCTAGCTGGGGAAAGCCTAGCTGGGGAAAGCCTAGCTGGGGAAAGCCTAGCTGGGGAAAGCCTAGCTGGGGAAAGCCTAGCTGGGGAAAGCCTAGCTGGGGAAAGCCTAACTGGGGAAAGCCTAGCTGGGGAAAGCATAGCCGGGGAAAGCATAGCCGGGGAAAGCATAGCTGGGGATAGCCTGGTCGGGACAAGCCTAGCTGGTGGCCGAATCTTCCCGTGCCTGCAGCACCTGGAGCTGACCTTACAGGATGATGCAGTGGAGATCCCTTTGTCCCTGGAGCTTCTCCCTCTGCTGCACACCCTCTCAATCCGCGGGGCAGCAGGGTTGAGAAGGCTCCCAGGGAATCTTGGGTCCACTCTGCAGCATCTGCGGCAGCTGCAGTTAGAGAATGCAGGGGAGCTGGAGTCACTGCCAGAAAGCATCACTCAACTGCAGCAGCTGCAGCAGCTGCGGATAGAGAATGTGGGGAAGCTGGAGTCGCTGCCAGAAAGCGTTACTCAGCTGCAGCAGCTGACTTCCCTGGAGGTTTCCGAGGCTCCCAAGCTGGCTTCTCTTCCCAAGGGCATCGGCGCGTTATCGAGGCTAAGGGAACTCACCCTGAATGAATGTCCCGGCGTAGAGTACCTACCAGCATCTCTCACGCAACTCGCATGTCTGACGCATCTCAGTCTTCTGAACAGCTCTATTCGTTTCCTGCCGGGTGGGTTCATTCAGCTCACCCAGCTGCGGAGCTTGTCCCTGCACGGTTGTGAGCGGTTGGAGGCGTTTCCGGAGAGTTTTACAGCGCTGACGATGCTCCGCGTTCTGGATGTGACGAAGTGCGCGCATTTGTTGGAGGGTGATGGGGTCATCAAAACCCTCAAGGCACGGGAGGTTTTCCGGGTGTACGGGCTGAGGATCCACGGGTTGCACTAGCGGCTGCAGCAGGTGGCGTGCTACAGCAGGTGGGCAGGAGGTGTGGGTTGAGGCAGGGGGGAGGTGTGGGTTGAGATGGGGGAGGTGTGGGTTGAGATGGGGGAGGTGTGGGTTGATACACTTTTGAGGCGCCAAGAGATCGACTCTAAGCTTCGAGGAGGTTGTATTGGAGGAGATGGTGCTGCGGCAGCAGATGGGGAGGAGGTGTGAGTTTGAGCTAAGGAGTAGGTGTGGGTTTGACCAAGGATGTTCGAATAATGGAATGAACTAGATTGTGCCATATAGGGAGGTTTTGTGCTATGGTGTTGTACCCTCTATAAGCATGCACCTATCTAGCCTATAACATATACAATTATATGTTGACACACCCCCTAGACTAGAGAAGGGGCGGTGCTTGGCAAGAGACACGCAGCTCAGGGTGGCACCACTAGTCCAACCTCTGAGGCAAGGGTCAGAAGACCAGTCATAAGAGTACGAACAAGACAAGAGCAAACCAGGGCGGCACTACGAGTCCGGCCATAGGAGCAAAAACCAGAAGGCCAGTCAGGAGAATATAATAAGAGTAGTACACAATCAAGGTCCTAGCAAGTGAGGAGCTACTGGAACTAGACCAAGCTGTACACAGTGCCGCTGATGATCTTTAGGCGCAAGCGCCTTAGTAAAAATATCAACTGTGTTGGCACCGAGGGCCAAGTGAACTACGCGGGCCTGGCGACGCTGCTGCAGCTCGCGCAGGAGGAAGTACCGCAGCTGGATGTGCTTCGCTCTGCCATCCAGTCGAGGCTTCTGACACAGGAGGAACATGGCCCTGTTGTCAGCGTACAGAACTGGGGCAGAGCTAAGCCGCTCACCTAAGTCTCTCAGCAGAAACGTCAGCCAGCGGAGCTCCTGTGCCGCCATGGCACCAGCGCAGATCTTGACCTCACAGCTAGACTGTGCAACAGACGACGAACAGGTGAACCTCCACGAGACAGCGCCCGCACCAAGGCTAAAGCAGTAGCCCTGAAAGGACCTGAGCGTCTCAGCGTCGTCGGCCCACGAAGCGTCTGTGTGCCCTGTCAGGACCACTGGCCTGCGTCCTCCTAGCAATAGCCCCATGCCCGATGTACTTGCTAGATAACGCAAAACCCTCTTAGCTGCAGACCAGTGCTGTGGTCGGTGTCAGCCTCTCACCACAAAGTGAGCCAGGATACTGGTAGAGGTGTGAGCTATGCGGAGGAGAACTAAAGACCGAACCTCTGAAGGATTTGGCGCACCAAGTGTGACTGTGTCAAAGTGATGGTGCACGCTGCTCATTCCCTGGAGATCTGCAGCCCAAGGTAGCGGCGCAGCTCTCCTAGGTCAGTGCAGGTGTGTCTCCTCAGCAGCTCAACTTTCATAGAGGCCAGAACTTCTCTATTTGCAGTAGCAAAGACCAGGTCGTCTACGTAAACAATGATGTAGAACAGGGTCTGTCCTGAACGAGCGAAGAGTGAATGGAAGAACTGTAAGTCAGCAAGTGTAGCATGCTGCGTGTCGTGCCACTCACGGGGTGCCTGTCGCAGACCGTAAACTGGGCGCCGGAGGAGCCACTCAGTTCCGGGGGCGAAGGTGCCGGTGAACCTCGACGGACGGCGCAGGTAGACCTGCTCGTGCAGACTGCCCTGGAGAAACGCTGTGGAGAAGTCAAGAGAATGCAGCTCGTAGTCGCGCTGAGCTGCTACGTGTAGCAGCGCCCGAAGAGTGGTCATCATTGGGGTCGGAACGAAGGTCTGAAAGAAGTCAACACCATCGCGTTGACTGAAGCCTCTAGCAATGCAGAGCGCCTTCAACACCGACGGCTCTCCAGCCGTTCGTGGACTCTGGGGGTGCTGGCGTTGAGGAGGGTGCTAGTCATGGGGTTCCTGTCGTGGCTTGTCCCGGCGGGCCTAGGGGTGGCACCGGTGCTGGAGAGATTTCTCGCTCTGGGGGTGCTTGTTCTGGGGGTGCTGTTCTAGAGTGTTTAGGAGGTGGCCGTGGTATCGCTGGCGGTCCACGTGTCGGCGTCAAGCAGCAAAAGTCGCCGCCGGTGTCCGCCTTTTGCCTGCTCGGCCTTCCCTCCCCTGACCGCTCGCCTGTGCCTCCCCCGCCGCCTCCTCCCCTTCCTATCTTGGCCATGTGTTCAATCCGTCGGACTCGTCTTTGACTCGTCTTCCCCCTCGTTCCCCTCTTGTGTCTCCTCCTCTGTCTCCTGACCGGACGCCTCCATCTCACATCTGGTCTTGCCGTCCCTCTCGTGCTCATCCTGTCTCTCCAGTTCAGTGCTCTCACCCTTTGTTGCTTTGTTCCCACGCATCTCGTCCTCCTCTTCTGCCTTTGCCTCCTCCGTCGTCACTTGCTATCGCGCCTCCCCCTCTGTCTGACTACCTTCGTGCTACTCGTCCTCTTGTTCCTCGGGACCTTGCCTCCCTTGTTATCGACCCGTCTGTTCCTGTCTCGAGTCTTGACTCTCTTGTCGCTGTTGTTGCTAGTTTCGCCTCTACCCGCCGCTTTAACTACGCCACCGCTCTGGTCTCTGACCCTGTCTATTCTCCGTCCGTCGGGGGTGCTTCTATTCTTGGTAGTGACGTTCTAGAGGACAGGCAGTACGAGCTTGCTTTCCTGTCAGAGGCCGCTCCCCATCTCTGTTCCATGCTGCCAGTCCCTGAGGGTGAACCAGACGTTTTTTACATCCCGACCCCTAGCACTTACGCTGAGGCGATCTCGGGACCCTGAGCCTCTCAGTGGACTGTTGCCATGGAGCAGGAGATGGCATCTTGGAGATCCACCGGCACCTACATCAACACAGTTCCCCTGCCTTGGGTGAACGTAGTCGATGTCCGGTGGCTCTTCAAGGTGAAGCGCCCCCCAGGAGAGCTGCTTGTGTTCAAGGCGCGCTACGTGGCCAGAGGCTTTAGTCAGCGTGAGCTGGTGGACTTCTTTCAGACCTTCACCCCAACCGCGAAGATGACTACTCTTCGGGCGCTGCTACACGTAGCAGCACAGCGTGACTATGAGTTACACTCCCTCGACTTCTCCACAGCGTTTCTCCAGGGCAGTCTACACGAGCAGGTTTACCTGCGCCGTCCGCAGGGCTTCACCGGTACCTTCCCTCTTGGGACCGAGTGGCTCCTCCGGCGCCCCGTCTACGGCCTACGACAGGTGCCTCATGAGTGGCACGACACGCTGCATGCTACGCTAGCTGGCCTGCACTTATTTCCGTCCTCAGCAGACCCCTCTCTCTTCGTTCATGCTGGCCAGACTCCGTTCTTCATCCTTGTCTACGTAGACGATCTGGTTTTTGCTACTGCAGACAAAGAGGCACTGGCCTCCGTAAAGGCCGAGCTGCTGAGAAGACACACCTGCATTGACCTAGAAGGGTTGCGCCGCTACCTTGGCCTGCATATCTCCAGGGACAAAGCAGCGCGCACCATCACTCTCACATTGTAACACTTGGTGCGCCAGGTCCTTCAGAGGTTCTGTCTTCATTTTTCCTCCGCACAGCCCACACCTCTGCCAGTAGACCACAGGCTCTCGACTCCAGTTCCTGAGGAGTCAGTAGAGTCCAGTGGTCGTTACGTAGAGCTGGTGGGTTGCCTCATGTACCTGATGACTTGCACTCGTCCAGATCTCGCATACCCTCTCAGCATCCTAGCTCACTTTGTGGCCACAGGCAGACACCGACCACAGCATTGGTCAGCCGCTAAGAGGGTTTTGCGTTATCTAGCAAGTACATCAGGCATGGGGTTAGTGCTGAAAGGACGCAGGCCAATGGTCCTTACTGGGCACACTGATGCTTCTTGGGCAGACGACGCTGAGACCCTCAGGTCCTCCCAGGGCTAGTGCTTTAGCCTTGGTTCAGGTGTCATCTCGTGGAGGTCTACTTGCTTCTCGTGTCTAGTCTAGCTGTCAGGCTGAGATCTACGCCGGTGCCGTGGCGGCACAGGAGCTCCGCTGGCTGACGTTCTTGCTCACCGACTTAGGGGAGCGGCCTAGTTCTGCCCCGAATCTGTACGCTGACAACAGAGCCATGATCTTCCTGTGTCAGGAGCCTCGACTTGAGAGCTGGGCGAAGCACATCCAGCTGTAGTACTTCCTCCTGCGCGAGCTACAGCAGCGTCGCCAGGCCCGCGTAGCACATTTGGCCTCCGGTGCCAACACAGCTGATAACTTTACGAAGGCGCTTGCGCCTAAAGATCATCAGCGGCACTATTTGCAGCCTGGTCTAGTTCCTGTAGATTGTCACTTGCTAGGACCTTGATTGTGTACTCATCTTTATATATACCTTTCTAACTGGCCTTGTGGCTTTCTCCCAGTGGCCGGACTAGTAGTGCCGCCCTGGTTTGCTCTTGTCTTGTTTGTACTCTTGCTGTCTAGTTTTCGGACCCCTGTCTCAGAGGTTGGACTAGTAGTGCCACCCTGAGCTGCGTGTTTCTTGCTCAGCACTGCCCCTTATCTAGCCTAGGGGGTGTGTCAACTTATACATATATTTGTATGTAGAAGTTTTAGGCTAGATAGGTGTGTGTTCTTAGAGGGTACAACTCCTCCCTATACCTCCCTTGTACACCCTTGTTTCAAGTCATTCTCGTATTCTAACACTTCGCAGTGGCATGCCCAAGCATGATTGTAGTTTAGTATGGCCTTCCGTTCGTCGATGAGAGCATGTGGATCAGTGGGTGCATCGTGTTGGGTACTGAGTTTGATGCAGCAGGCAGTGAGCGACCCTGATAGTGATTGCGGAAATTCTGCATGGTTTGTTGAAACTTGGTTTCTCCCAAAAAGGATTTCACTAAATGATTGGCATGAAGGTACAGACAACTGCTAGAAGTACGTATGGTGCACAGCATGCATGGCCGCTAGAGCTGTGTGGCAGTACTAGACCTAGCAGCAACCATTCCACACCTGTTGTGGATTACCATAGGTGGCGTGGCCATGCACCAAGAGCAGCTGACACATGCCTGCATGCCAATCAAATGTGAGCATCCAACCAACACACCACCCAGCAAACCAGCAAGCAACAGAAAACCAGCAGGGTAGCCACACCTCACTCCCACAAGCAACCAACCAATCAATCCGCAGCACCCCAACCATCACACCTCCAACAACCAAGACCACCCCTCACCTTTGGGACCCGGTTGCCAGGGGGAAGTGGCACACAGAAATCCAGCAAGGAACGCCACGCACTCACCACACTCACAGCAACCAAGGAGAGAGCCAACCCTTGCACTCACAACCCGTTGTTGTGAGTGCAAGGGTTGTTACCTCATCAGCCCACGAGGCATGAGATAGAAGTCAATCAGTCCAGGCCAGAAGGGAGAATTTTGAGGCGCTCTAACGGAACATAGAGGCAAGTGGCTAGTTGTCGTACCAGACGAACACTCCCAGCACGGGACCGCTCCACTGCTCCCCAGTGTCGCTGTTGGCAACCACGAGAGAGAGTGAGGTGGATGGGGCGGTGAAAGATGGCTTGACAGGCGGGTAGAAGCTGCTGCTGCCGTCGCTGCTGCTGCTGTCGTCGCTGCTGCTGCTGTCGTCGCTGCTGCTGCTGTCGTCGCTGCTGCTGCTGTCGTCGCTGCTGCTGCTGTCGTCGCTGCTGCTGCTGTCGTCGCTGCTGCTGCTGTCGTCGCTGCTGCTGCTGTCGTCGCTGCTGCTGCTGTCGTCGCTGCTGCTGCTGTCGTCGCTGCTGCTGCTGTCGTCGCTGCTGCTGCTGTCGTCGCTGCTGCTGCTGTCGTCGCTGCTGCTGCTGTCGTCGCTGCTGCTGCTGTCGTCGCTGCTGCTGCTGTCGCTGCTGTAATCATCACTGCTATTGTCGTCGGCACTGTTGTCGTCACTGTCCTCATTGTCCTCATTATCGTCACTGCCATCATTACCATCATCATCATTATAGTCACTGCTGCTGTCGTCACTGCTGCTGCTGTCGTCACTGCTGCTGTTATCATCACTCCCATCATTGCCGCTGTTATCGTCACTATCCTCGTTATCCTCGGAATCATCACTGCCATCATTGCCACCATTATAATCACTGCTGCTGTCGTCACTGTTGCTGTTATCGTCACTATCCTCATTGTCCTCGTTATCGTCACTGCCATCATTACCGTCATCAGAGCTGTAGTCACTGCTGCTGTCGTCGCTGCTGCTGTCGCTGCTGCTGCTATCATCACTGCTGCTATCATCACTGCTGCTATCATCACTGCTGCTATCATCACTACTCATCTCATACTTGCTACTGCTGCTGCTGTCACTGCTGCTGCTGCTGCTGCTCACATCACCACCTTCCTCACTCCCCTCCTCACTCCCCTCCTCCACTCCCTTGGCTGCAAATATGCTCTTGAACCAAGCATCTGCTGCTTCCCACAATCCCCTCCCACGCCCCCACCCCATCTTCCCCACACTGCCACTACTCACTCCGAACCTCCTCCCATTCCCATTCCCGTATCCATAACCGTTACCATTGCCATTTCCGTTACCGAATCCAGGCCCATACCCCTGACCCCACCCCCAGTTCTCAGGCACTGTAGCATTGGGAACCCCGGCCAGAATATCCTCAATAGTAGCAGCATCAACATCCTCCAAGGTGTCAAAAAGCCGAGCTACAGTAACCGTGGTGTAGAGACCCCACCTGGGGGGACCACCTGTTGAGTTGGCGAGCTCCCATTCGTCAGCGGTAACAGGGAAGGAGAAGAGGGTGGGGGCAGACTTGTTGCAGGCAGTGCTGCTCTTAACGAGTGTGATTGTATCAGGGATAGAGGAGGTGGAGGTGATGTTACGGATGGTTACCCTGTAATGGATGTTGAAGTGACCAGTGGCGTTCCTGGAGTATTGGGGGAGAGGTCAGGAAGTCATGTGAGATCATGGGGAAAGTTATTTTGATGAGGAAAGAAAATCGAATCAGCAGAAACCAACCTTCGACCAGGATGGTATGTCAAGATGCTACAGGCGAGACGGGTTTGGAAACAGAAAATTAATATTTCTAATCACACAGAGGTAGAGTTGCAAACACTGAAGGCAAAAATCGTGAGAAACCTTCAGTAATAAACCGAAGGCAAGCAACTCACTTGAAAATGGAGAGGAAGAAGGAGCCTCCAGAGAGCAGGGGAGCATCGGACGAACAGGTGGCGAGGGATGCGCTCACACGGCCTGCAACAAGCACAATCACATACAAGCACACATGTTTATACAATATCACATGCATGCAGATGGGATAAAACACAACTGTACATCGGAGAATGTATGAGAGCGCAACAACAATAGGAGCAACAACATAATATAAATAAAAAGTCAACACCTCATCGCAACTCACCTGTGATGTTCCCAAGAGCAGGGTCCGCAGCGCCACACCCGAACCCTCCCGAGCTGCTGTTGAACCACGGGCTACCGGCACCACCGCTCCCATTAGCGCACGGCCCAGATTCGTTACAGCAGGGGATAGAGCCATCCGAGCCGTTCACGCACGGACCCATCCCAGATCCGTTACCGTATCCGTTACCATACCCATTTCCGTTTCCGTTTCCGTTTCCATATCCCTGGCCCCAGCCGTTCCCAAAACCAGCACCAGCACCAGCACCAGCACCAGCACCAGCGCCATAACCACTGCCATTCCCGTTCATGCACGGCCACGTGGCACCATTAGATTCCGCCACGTCATCCTCGTCCCACCACCAGGGACCGTCACCGTTACCCCCGCAGAATCCCCCACCTCTCCCAAACCCGCGACCAAACCCGCGACCAAACCCGCGACCAAACCCGTGACCAAACCCGCGACCAAAGCCGTATCCAGATCTGTTAAAGGACGGTCCCGTCCCGTTAAAGCAAGGTCCAGATCCGTTATTGCAAGGTCCAGAACCGTCAAAGCACGGTCCTGTCCCGTTACCACCGCACGGCGAAGTGCCGTTTTCGTCCAGCCACCAGGGACCCCCCCAGAAGCCAGGTCCAAATCCAGACTCGTTATAGCACGGCCCGGTTCCGTTTAAGCAGGGCGGCACTGTAGCGTTTTCGTCCAGCCACCAGGGGCCCCATCGGCCCGTCGCGTTATAGCAAGGGCTGCTCTCGTTCCAGCAAGGATGAGCCACGTCCGTCGCGTTAGTATCCAACCACCACGGCCCTCCAAATCGTCCCGCTCCGTTATTGAAAGCCCCGTTTCCGTTGAAAGGCGGGCCGGGATAATCCTCGCTATAAGACTGCTCGTCGTCGTCGTCCCACCAAGGACCCCTGCCGCCCCCAAAACACGGGCCGCCGGTTCCGTTCACTACGGTCCCATTTCCGCACGGGCCCGATCCGTTATAGCACGGCCCGGTTCCGTTTAAACAGGGCGCTGTAGCGTTCTCGTCCAGCCACCAAGGGCCCCTGCCTCCCAAGCCGCCTGATCCGTTAAGGCACGGCCCGGTTCCGTTCAAGCAGGGCGCTGTAGCGTTTTCGTCCAGCCACCAGGGACCGCTGCCGCCCCAACCGCCTGATCCGTTAAAGCATGGCCCGGTTCCGTTCAAGCAGGGCGCAGTAGCGTTCTCGTCCAGCCACCAGGGACCCGAACCGTCCGTTGCGTTAAAGCACGGCCCAGATTCGTTGAAGCACAGATGCGTGCCGTTGAAGAAACGAGGCCCGTTTCCGTAACCGTTACCGTAACCGTTTCCGTTACCGTTTCCGTAACCGTTTCCGTTACCGTTACTGCTGTCGTCACCGTCATCGGCCCACCAAGGTCCCCGACCAAACCCACCGCCGCCACCAGCACCAGCACCAGCGCCAGCACCGGCCCCGTTTCCTCTGCCGCTGCCAAGTCCAGGACCGTAATAGTCGTCGCTGCCGCTGCTATCGTCGCTGCTGTCGTCGCTGCTGTCGTCGCTGCTGTCGCCAGAGTAATCGTAGGTGTAACCGTTACCACCGCCCTGACCGTTACCGCCGTTACCGCCGCCTTGGCCGTTGCCCCATCTGCCGCCTCCTCCGGGCCCGAAACGAGCCAAGACTGCAGTGAAGAGAGAGGAACAGTTCCGAGGCTGAGAAAAACCAGTTCCGAGGCTGATTGAGAGAAACGAGACGAAACTGAAACGTTCCGAAGTAGGTGGGGGGAGATAAGTATCGTACCTGGTGACACGAGGAGCAGCGCGACGCAGAGGAACGCGACCCAGGGTCGCCCCATAGTTGAATCCGCTTCGATGCTAACTTAGCGTTGACGGTACTATGGCACTAATAGTAGGTGGTCCTAATTGATAGTCCCTGGAATGCGAGATTTCGCGAACGAGCGCGCGGGTGAATGAGGAAAGAATACCGCTCGCACTGGCAGGCAGAAGAGCTTCGAGTCCGGATTCGGGAGTACAAACAATCGCGTGAGTGTGCGCCACTCGCAAGGCGAAAGAGGGTGGTTATGCAGCCATCTGCGTTCGACATTCCTCTAAATACAGCACCTCAGCCAAGGGCGGGTGCGGTGGTTGTACCGGAATCGGAATCTGAGCGCGGCGCGGCGCCGCCTACCGCACCCGCTGCGCCGTAGGCTGCGCAGTGACCTCCCCCATCACCCCATCTCTCTTCTCCCCCCTCCCCCCGCAGTGGCTTCTTCCCCAGAACCTCCCCCGCACCCCTCCCCTCCAGGAATCTTCCCAAGAAGGGCTGCGATGCCCCTAGCGCGAGGTCAACGCGAACCTTCATCGTGAGGCGGTGCGCGATTCACGAAGAAGACTGACGGACCCAGTGTGACGAAATCGGTGATGTACGAGGGGTCCTCCCGGCTCCAGATTCGGCCTCTCTTTCGCCCGGTAGAAAGGCGACGAGGCCCCGCTCCTACAGTACTGTATCAAACCTGCGAAAGGCTTTTGCGAAAAGGGCTGCGATGCCTTGGGCGCGAGGTCAACGCGAACTTTCGTCGTGAGGCGGCGTGCGACGACTGGTGCGACCGGCCCCAGGGTCGGCCTCTGTTTCGCCAGAAAGGCCACGAGGCCCCGGTGCTACCTAACAGCGAGAACCGGAATGTGTAAGGCAGTCATTGCGACCACTGCGCGCCGATCCTATACAACGAAACCTACCCAGTTGTCACCTCTGTTCGCGCTGGAACCTTTTCAGCCAGAACGTTCCAGAGAAGGCACATTGTGAAGGTACCATCCTCAGCCATCACTGTGGCTCACTGTAGTTCTGAGTCAGCACTAATCTAGCAGGAGCCTGAGTTTACCTCCACCCCACTTTACCTAGTACCCAACCAGCCTGGCCGGGGCCTGTCTGTCGGGGCAGGGAGGGTATGCTGCCGAAAATGGAGAGGAGACCTCTCTTGGCGATGCCTGTTGGCGACAGAGCTGTGGACGAGTGTGCTTGGCTGGGCGACGCATTGGCCACCACCTCCCATTCTTCACGACGTAATACACCCAGATATTCGATCATGTCACAGGTTTTGAAACGACAGGTGTGATTTTTTTTGTGCCGAGTGACTGTATCGCTTTATTATCACATTGGCCCAGTTTCGCTCATTCGTCGTTTCCCTGGAACTCGCAGGAGAAACATATTAATCACCCCACCAACTAAATATCGCGCCACTCCGTCTTCATAGCCGACATCATCACGCAATTTCGCCTGTACGCCCAATTTTCAGTCGCGTTTTCATTCCAGTAACTCGGGAAGCTCTACTGTAAGCTTGAAACAAATATATTTTAGGGGCAAGTAGCCGCTTTGTTGAAAGTGCACCCATTCTTCTGGTCTCGGCAAGGGGGTCTCATCCTTAGAGCCCCTTGACCAGTCAGCGAAGCCACCGTCCTCGGCGATTCCCTCAGACATGAGCTCGCCACGTCACATGAGGTCCAGGCCTATTGGCGGGAAAGATGGTGTCTGGTTCGTCACATGCGTGTTTCTGCGATGTGAGTGTTAGCGACGCTGTGGTCGGTTGATTTCGCACGCCACCTCTAGCTATGGGATTGGTTCCCAAAACTAAGTTGAATGTACCAAAAACTTTCTTTAATTGCGTGTTCTTGAATTGAATAACAGGGTGTACTGTATTGGCGAAGTACTTTCGCCAATACAGGAGAATCTTGCTCTCATCTCGAGTCTCCTCGAGTCTCCTCCACTCAAGTCTCGCCAAATGTGTTGTACTGTACTTGCAATGTCAGTGGCAGCCTTGTGTGAATGTCGAACCGCGCTTTGGTGGCAGGCTGGGACCAGCACGCGACTTGACGCCGACCAGTTCGTGGAAGCGCCCGCTGGGCGAAACTGCTCGCGAAAGTGCTCTCGCTGACAGGAACTGGCAAGGTGTGCAGTGGAAAAGGTGTTACAGAGAAGTCTGATAACGCAAGCATCTATAACAGTTACATAATCACACAATTTGGTTATCTCAATAAGACACCAAGCAAGAATCTTCTGATAGAAAATCCCATTCATGTTGGGCTGAGAAAAGCCCTTGGGATCTTTTGCAGAGACTAAGTCCCAGCTGTAAAGACTTGAGACTTGGAGTAGTGCAGCGGAAGTTGAGACGGTTGAACCCTTGTACTAGTATGTGAGAACAAGTGATTGATTAAAGAAACAAGCATACAGCAATATATAGAAGATAAGAAAGCAGTTGTAGAATACAGTTACAGGAACGGTTTATCGAGTCGCACAGCGACTCGATTGCCGCTTCGGTTACCATCCGTGATGTTGTAACGGTCAGTCGCAACCTCCAGTTGCGACCTTTCGAGTCCTTTCGCATTCTTTGTCCGCCCCCTCGTGTAACCTCCGTTGACTCGCGTGCTCCCCTGTAATCTTCCTCGAGTACAGTGTTACACTTCAGAAACGCTTAAGTCCTTGAGATATTTCCAACACTCCCCTTCGTTTCTGGAGTGCTGGAGTGTTCAGATCCGGTGACGTTTGTTTGCCCGGTTAGGAGCATGCAGTAGTCGAATTTTGCTTTCGCCAATTTCTTCGTCAGATAATCTGCGGCCATTTCTGTCGTCGGGCAGTAACTGAGTTGAAGTCTCCCCTTCGCGATTTCATCCTTGACGAAGAAGTACCGCAGGGCGATGTGCTTGGTTCGGTTGGCGAAGCCGTCCTTGTTCGCGATTTTTATCGCAGATTGGTTGTCGCAGAGGAGTGAGAAGGTGGGCAGGGTCGCGATCTTCGCTTCTTCGAGTAACTCTCGTAGGTAGAGTCCTTCCTTGGTCGCAGTACAAAGGGCGATATACTCTGCTTCAGCCGAGGATAGTGCGATTAACTCCTGCTTGCTCGACTGCCAGGAGATAGTTCCGATAGGTTCTAGTCGGTAGATGTAGCCCGTCCTAGACCGTCGATTTTCGCTGTCTCCCGCGTGGTCGGCGTCGACGTATCCGAGTAGTCGTACGGACGGTGTTGTTGCCTTGCTGTAGGTGAGCCCGATCGTCGGCGTGGAGACGAAGTAGAGTAGCGCTCGATTGAGTTCTTCGAGATCTTCCTGTTGCGGCTGCTTCAGATGTGTCGCCAGCTGACTCGCACTATAGGATAGGTCGGGTCGGCAGGTTACTGTTGCGAATAGTAGGCAGCCGAGCTTCTGTTGATACTCCTGGATTTGTTTCGCGGGGAGTTTTGTGGAGGCGCTACTGTTGTTCCCGTAGCGGTAGGGAGTTGGGACCGCAGTCGGTGTTAGACCGAATTTCTTCGCGACGGTGCTTGAGTACTTTCCAGCGTGTAGGTAGAACGCCGTGTCGTCTTCGACGACGTTCAGTCCTAGGTACTGCGTCACCTCGTCGGACACCGTGAGCGTTAGGTCCCTTTTCAGCTCCCCTTCGAACCAGGTGACGATGTCGGTGGTAGAACCGATGTAGAGCAGGTCGTCGACGTAGACGATGAGCAGAATGTAATCTCTTCCCTTCTGTAGTCGGTACATGCCTTGGTCATGTGGTAACTGTAGGAATCCGATTTTTACGAGCCGGCCGTGAAGGTGCTGCTGCCAGAGCCGTGGGGCTTGCTTGATCCCGTAAAGGGATTTTTCCAGCTGGCATACTTTTGAAGGGTCGTCGATGAATCCGTGGGGTTGTTCGACGAAGATTTCGGCGTCCACAGGTGCGTACAAGAAGGCGTTTGCAACGTCGATTTGCCGTAGTGGTAGTTTCTTCGTGGCCGCGATGGCGAGTAGGATGCGCAGGGAGGTGTGACGGGAGACTGGAGCGAAGGTTTCTGTGTAGTCGGTTCCGTATCGTTGATCGAAACCTCGTACGACCCATCGAGCTTTGAATCGTTCGATGGAGCCGTCTGAGTTGGTCTTGATGCGGTACACCCATTTCCCCGAGAGAATGTTCTTCCCGTTGATGCTCGTTGCAGGTACCAGTTTCCATGTTTCTCGGTCTTGCAGAGCTTTTAACTCTTTTTCCATCGCTTCCTTCCATTGTGCCTTATGTTCCCCCCCCAGAGCCTGCGACAGGGTCGACGGCTCGCGCGGAGAAGGCGGCGGCGGGTGCTGGACGGAGACCCATAGTCCTAGGATCTGCAGTCCCGTGGCTGTGTGTCGAGGGGAGTTTTCATTCTCGGGATAAGCTGCTTCATCACCGTCTTCAGGATCGGGTAAGAAGTTTGGCCCGATGCGTTCGGAAATATTCGAGTCGACGGGGTGTGGTGTAGCGTAGCCTTGGTCAGCGAAGTGGTAAAAGGTGTCGAGGTTGTTGCTATCGAGGGGATTATCTTCATCGAGTGGAACAGGTACGGAGCAGTAGGGGAGTGGTCCGGCAGCCTCCGAGGCTCCAGGGACGTCTTCTTCTGCTGCGTCAGCCTCGGCAGCATGGTCAGCGAAGGAGCGAAGGCCCGCGAAGCCGTCGGTGGGGTCGTCTGAGTTGGCAATGTTGTCCAGGTAATGCTGCAGCGTCAGTCGCTCGTAGAAGATAACATCACGTGATGCCACCGTATTTTTGTCGTGTATGTCGAGAATCTTCCACGCGTGAAAATGTTTGGCGATGCCGAGGTGTAGTCCCCACCGAGCTCGTTGAGTGAAGCGTCCTGCTCGAGCTGTGTGGGGTCTGTATTGTACCATGCAGCCGAAAACTCGAAGTAATTTTGTGCTGCCCCTTTTTCCCGTCCACAGCAGGTGCGGTGATGCGTTGTTGGGGAGCGATGACGAGGACAACAGGTTGTGCAGGTGGACTGCATGTGTCATCGCGTCTGGCCACAGTGTATTGGGCAGTCTCATCCCCAGGAGCAGCTTTCGCATCGTCGTCTGCAAGGTCCGGTTCATGCGTTCGGCGACCCCCTGCTGCTGGTGAGCGTATGGTAGGGACACCAGGCGCTTGATTCCTCTTTCCGCCAGATAGGTCCTGAAGCGTTGTGACTGGTATTCTAGGGCACCGTCTGACTGGAAGCTTTTGAGCTTGGTTCCTGATTCCCGCTCGGCGATGGGGAGCCATGTTGTGAAGGCGTCGAAGGCTTGATCGCGCGTCTTGAGGTTGTAATGCCAAGTGTATCTTGTTGCTGCATCGACGAAGGTGATGACGTAGTTGAAGTCGGCTTCCGTGTCGTCTCG